CACTCACCTCATAGTTCTAGCCGACCTGTGACAATGAGACTGTCACAGGTCGGCTCAGTAGATCGGGAGGTGAGCGAACACATACCAGGTTCGCTCACCTCTCGATCCTGTCACGGCTCTCTGCCGTGACAGGGGAAGGGCTGGATTCCCCTCTCCCCGCTCCGATCTGCCAGCGCTGACTGGCGGAACGGACGGGGGAGGGGGCGGGTACAGCTGGCTCTGCCTCTAGATAGGCAGAGCCAGCTGTCACTCACGCAGCTGGGCGGATCTCGTCATCTACGTCGGGATCCGCTCCGGCGTCTCAGTATACCGCGAGCTGTAGCTCAGGTATACTGAGCTTAGGGTAACGGGAGGACGCTAGTTTGTGTCCTCCCGTTACCCTAAGGAGAACTATGGGGAAAAACACTGACCCCATAGTTCTCCTTTAATAAATCCAGCGCCCTCCTGACTGTGACCTACCTGGGATAATACTTACCTTCCGCACTAATCCAGTGATTGTTCCTCCAACATGGTCCCGGCCTGCTTCTTTTTAATACTGCAAATGTGTGGTGTGGCCCCATACATTCCTGGGAGTAAGCTGTATACGGAGGGACCGCAGGAAGTCGTCATGAATACGACTAACTATAGAAATGAACAGGGTACAGGCGTGCATGTGCAGTATGAAGTGGAGACAGTTGGGACCATCTCAGCGTACAAGATTGCTGAATCAGGGAGGATGTTAAATGACATGTAAGGTGGACAGCAATAAGGGAAGTGAGGGAATTGATTTAAAGACAACATTACTGAAGGTGAAGTTGTCCTTTAGGGAAGTACACACCCAGTAAATCTGTTGTAGCTGAAATTATTTACGTATACATTTCTAGTTTAGCGTAAGGTAAACTGAGTGAACATTTTAATTTTAATATTTTCGGTGTTTGCTGGTCAGAACCAGTAGCTCACAAACTAATTTCACAGTTTCCTGTTAGAAAAAAAGAGAACACCAATCCTGGCACTGCATGGGAGTATGTACCCCATTCTATTCTAACAGCTGGCCTATTTGCATTGGATTATCCATCCCTTGCTTCTGATTGGCTATTGCTGGCTGTCAACCATCAGCTGTAGGCAGGTCCCACATACACAGACCAACTCATATGGAGCATTTAATTTACTGAAGTGCCATGCCAGAGAAGAAAGATTTCTTTTACATCTCATGATGGATGCTGTGCCTCAGGTCTTATCTACAGAGATATTCGATGGTGGGTAAAGGTATCTGAACCCTTTCTGAGCCTTTGTCCGAGGAGACATATTTTGCCCGCAACCATCACCCCTTCCTTGGAAAATCTCCTGCAAATACCCATGGAGTCAGAAAGTGGGACGCTCAGACAGTAAAGCACCATAATACACGGGAGAAGCTGAAAAAACGAAACTGTCTGATTGCCAGTGGCAGTTAAACAGTTCTTTATGATAAATGAAAACATCCGCGCCTTTAGTCATTTTTGTAAACCTCTGCCCAGACAGGCACATTCACAATGCTTCATATTCTTTAGAATTGTATTAAATTGTCATCATTATTCATAAAGTTAAAGGTTCAAAAAACACTAAAATTTTAAAAGAAAATATTTCTATGTGAACGCGGTGAAAAGTTTATACTGAAAATAAGTTCCAGTTTACACTCCGTTGAGCTGCAGTGATCTGCAGACTCAACACAAGGGCACATCAAAAACAATTGTTTGCTATATACCCTGTTTGCACCATAACACTATATTGTGGTGTGTTGCGTCAAAATACATTTTCTGACATTTTATTAAAGTATGATGCGTTGTAAAATTGTTACAGAGCAAAACGCATACAGGCTGATATGAATGAGCCCTTAATAAATCTTTCTTGCTTGACTAGTGACAGGGGCAAGAAAACACTCATGACAGGGGCTTTGCCAGTGCATGGAATAATAAGACGCATATAAAAACGGTATTTCACTCAATAAACTAAGGTTAGCGCATAGATAAGGTTCCCCTGCTATCTCCTCATTTTACATACGAGGTGGGAAGATTTCTCCCCCACCGGCATGACCAGGACCTACTCAATATAAGGTAGATTGCTGTGCTGGGCAGTGTTTACAATAGATCTAGGCATGACTACAAGCTACATAGAGATAGATGGGTGAGTTAAATGGCGCGTCTATTGCCCAGTGATGGATAACTATATGAACGACCTTGGCAGTGTACAGGGTCCATTCTCCCTAAGGGGCCCATGTTATAACTTGTCACTAAGTGTGCACCATTGACCCCCATCTGTAGAATGGCTTAGGGTGTCAGGTGTTGGAATGTTCCAGAACAGGTTCTATGCTGGCCCTCCAGAGTTTGTCTCTTACCCAACGTGACACAAATAATGTACCATTATTCCTGACCACCAATGCTGGAGCATTTTTAAATCCTGACATCGGGATCATTTTTTTGATGCCACTATCCACCGATTCTGGGGCATTATTTCCTCTCAATGATCACTGGCACTGGGATATTTTTTCTTTTCACTGACCACCGATGCTGGCACGTTGTTTTCCTACCAATGCTGGGGCCTGTTTTTTCTTCCACTGACCATCTATGCTGAGACATTTTTTCCTTCCACTGACCACCATTATCGGGGCATTTTTCCCTTCCACTTAAGCTGGAACTCTAAGGACCCACTTTTTCATGAGCACCAGTCTGCACGCTTTTGCTAGTCATTTATGAAGTATAAAGCTACGCATCACAAACATTTGAAATTTCACCCTGGTATGACTTGCCCAAAGTTAGTGGTGGTCCAGCAGGGTCGAGCACATACTCCTCCTCTGTCCTGTTCGGTGTAAGTTTGTCTGCTTGTTTCCTCCTAATTCCAGTATCTACAACAGCTTTCATTTTCTTTCTATTCACTGGTCTGGAACTTCTCATGCTGCTGACTTCTTTACATGGATCCAATAAAGAAAGGTTCTTCAGCTGGAGATTTTGTAGTATGTGATCTTGCAGAGCCACAGCAGTAAGGATTACCGGTTGCTGATTCCCATTACCATTCTAACATATAAGAACAAAGGAACAGCGTATATAAATATACTCATTAATTATGCGACTATACTAATTAATATGTAACACCATAGAAAAATAATTTTTGGAGTCTCCGTGTCTTAAGTCAGGTACATCTTTCCAAAGGTATGATTTATGAAAGATGTGTCAAAGGTACTTAGCAGCAAACAACACTAAGTATAAAAGAACACTGCATGTCTCAACAACCAAAAATGCATACAGGGCCAAATGTACCAATGATGATCAGTGTCAGACCTGCACTAAAAGCCTGAATCTGGTTATTAGCTATGAGGTAATCACTTAACTCTTAGTGAGACCACATTGTTACATAAGGCCCAGAAGAACTAATAACTGGCGATAAACTAAGGTTTGAACTGAATCCGGTCCCTACCTGAGCTCTTCCGAACCTGAAAGGAAAGCTTCTTCCACTTGGATCCAATTAGCTGCAGCTGCACTTAAGCAAAGGGGTGGGATGCCATGATGTAATTGACCCTATATGGCCACATGGCTATATTGGGTCAATGACATTGGAAATGCCAATGGAAATGAAGGAAATGCTCTGACCTGCACCTGATTGGTTGGGTTGTCCCATGTTTCTTTTGAGTTCAGAGAAGCTCAGGTTCAGACCAAACCTGGTCTGAACAAGTAGCTCATCCCTACTATTAACTTGTTGATAGTGTTCATGGGCACAAGGAAGAAAATGCCCGTAACCTGGGGATCTGGCAACCCTTCTTGCTTACCTCTTCTGGCAGCTAGGACTACTTAAATGAAATACAGGACCTAGAAAATGTATGGAGTCTGTGTTGTTAGTGTTTGCTAATTCCAGACCCCAGAGCCTGACTGATTTACAACGACCACTGGGGTACATATGTGTTTGTGCAGCTTCACCATTTTGTAGGTTAAGATGATATTAAACTGATCTTGAAGCCAGGAGAAAATAGGGACAACGGGAAGATGGGAATGGAAGAATTTACAATAGCCCAGCGTGCTCTGCGGCATTCATGAACAATAAGTAAGCATGGGAGTAAAAAAAAAAAAAAACATGATTATAGTCATTCTTATCTCAAAAGGAGGGGGTGGGATATGGGAACAAAGCAGAGTAACTCTTTACCCTCATAAAAAATAGCAGACATGGAGTGTCCCATAGTGTCATCATTGTTAATGCATATTTACATGTGTGGGAGTGATTTTATTGAAGATATACCTTTGAAGGTTTTGTTACACTTGTAACAGAAACAGATGCTCTGCTAGGCCTTGAACTTAAATGATGAGCCATTCCGTGTCCTAGCTAGCACACGTAAACCTGAAGAAAAAGAAAACATTACTCAATGCAAACTCACTTTGTAAATCATTGACAATATGTTACCCATGCCATAAAATCTAAAAGCTAATCATGGCTCCGGGATAAATAATATGTTACACAAAAGAATGAACAAGGTCCTAGAACTCCATTCAAATTCAAGATTTCTTCTCGGTAGGATGATGCGCCCATTTAGTAGCACAGCATAACACAACACATATGTCCATTACTGCAATTGATACTTTTAATATCATTTACAGCAGAACTGAATTAAAAAATGAAGGTTTGCTATGTTATAGGGAGTATCTAAGAGTGGTAATTGTGCCTAAGCAGTACCCAGAAAAATCTGCCTCTTGTCCTGAATTACAGTTGAATAGTACCTCCACACCTGCAACACCCTTCATGTGACCCAATGAGATGCTGCCTGAGGCAACTGCATCAGGCTGCTTTATTATAGAAATGGCTCTCTTTCTATATGCTCTGCTTACACCATAATGCTGCATTGAGGTGTGGTGCGTTGGATACAAATGCAGCATGTCTGATCACACCTTATTTCAACTCACCGCACAGTGTCACAATGTACAGCATAGACTTGAACCAAGTGTCATTATGTCACACTTCAATAAAGTTTAAAAAAAAAAGAAAAATGTAAACAGTGCAATGCATTGTAACAATGTATCACCCTCCCTCCCCCACATTGCACACCAGTGCAAATGCATTGTAGCATGCTGGCTGGTGTAAACAAGCCCTTAATGTATTTTATTTACCTGTAAAAGCAGGATCAGGACTGATACTGGGCATTTTCAGGAGTACTTGTACTCTAGAGAATGCCCCAATACAAAAGGCCGATACTGGCCCTTTACATTTTTAAAACAGATCGGCTGCCAAGGTCCTGCGCTTGGGGACCTTGGCAGCCTGCTGGGGACCTGGCAGTAACTGTCCTTGGCAGTGCCTGTCCGGCCCCATATCTCCTTCTCCTCAACGCACTGAACAAACAGCCCCGAAGCCGGCAGAAGCCCGGTGCTCGATTGTTTAGCCCCATGAGCCCCAGGTGCAGCCTGAAGACATCTGTACACTGCCCTGGTGAGATGCAAATGCAGCCCTGGTGACATTTGTACACTGCCCTGGTGAGATGCAAATGCAGCCCTGGTGACATCTGTATGCAGCCTGGTGAGATGCAAACACAGCCATGGTGACATCTGTACGCAGCCTGGTGAGATGCAAATGCAGCCCTGGTGACATCTGTATGCAGCTCTAGTGACATCTGTATGCAGCCCGGTGAGATGCAAATGCAGCCCTGGTGACATCTGTATGCAGCCTGGGGAGATGCAAACACAGCCATGGTGACATCTGTACGCAGCCTGGTGAGATGCAAATGCAGCCCTGGTGACATCTGTACGCAGCCTGGTGAGATGCAAATGCAGCCCTGGTGACATCTGTATGCAGCCTGGGGAGATGCAAACGCAGCCATGGTGAGAAACTGCTCTAAAATCATTAGTCTGTATTGTTTCAGAAAAAATTTCACATATTCCTTTAAGAAAAAGTATCAGTAATTGGTATCGGTGAGTACCTGAGGGAAAGTACTTTTACTTGTACTTGGTCTTAAAAAAATGTTATCGGGACAGCCCTACTCCATTGTGTAAACTTCTAAAAGCCTTGAGACTGCAAATTGGGGCCGCCATCTTGAATATGATGTCAGCAGAGTCAGAGCTGTCAGACAAGTAATGCACAGTATTCCTCTTCGCTCCTCCCTAGGCAGCTACATAGATCATTCATGGAAAGTGAAAATGCTGCAAATATACATTAAAAATACTTGATTTGTGTAAGCTGGTGACAGGGTCTCTTTAAGTTTTAAAAGATGCCTGTTAATGGAGTAAAAAGACACAGAGGGATTGAATTCCAAAATAAGGACTGTTCCTTTAAAAGAGAACTATTTGTGTAATCATACTAATGAAGAAAGCAGAATTAGATAATTAAAAAAACCAATGAACGGTACCAATCGCTTCATGCATTCTCTCCACACATTCGCAACTGTCAGGTCTCACCAAAACCCACCTTCTCTATCCAGGTAACGCTGCACGAAGCTGGTTGCCGAGCAACCAAAAGCAAACAGGAAGTGGTGGCTGCGGTATTCTCCAGACAGTGACCCTAGCTCCATGATAAGACCCGCCCCCAGCCTGCGTCTCCACTCCAATGCTACAGCACCATGCTGGCTGGAGAGCCTCGGTCTGCTCTATGGGCTGTGCAGCTGGCTGGCTGCGCTGTGTGTAGCTAGGTGATGGATGGATTCGCCTCTACATGAACATTAGCTGGGTTTATATAGAGCAGACGCTTAATAGATGATATAGATAGATGATAAATGATAGACAGGCACTTTCATGGGTGAGATGTCTTTGTCATGTTCTTACATTGACTTGTATGCAGAGGTAGGTGAGCTAAAAAGAGAACCTGTTATTTTTCCCTGAATGGGTGCAATGTTGGGTTTAATTTAAGATTGTGCAGCGATTTACAATATAAAGAAGCCATTGCAGTTACAATTCAAGAGACGATGGTTAGGAGAACAGTAGAAAGGTATCATGGCACACTCACAAACCAGCATATAAAACAACTTGTCTCACCACTAAGGTTAATAACAGCGGTTTGGATACACGTCTTCTGCAGAGAATGTGAAAGCCGCACAGCCGCGCCAAGGCACCTCTATATCGTGTGGTCCTAACTCTAAACTATGAGAGTCTCCATCTTGAAGCACATGGGGGCAGAAGATTTCAAATTGGGTGCAGGTTTGTCAGGAGGAAGCCCAGCCTCCTTAAAGGCACAGGAACACACAAGGGATCCCGCACATCCCAATGGCAGCTGAGAACCCCCATGCGTCACTGCACCAAATCGGTCAAGCAAAACAAATGCTTGAACGATGGTTAGGAGGGCCCTGCCCATGAGAGCTTACCATCTAAAATTGTCTTGTCTTGTATAGAAAACTGATCTCAAGCTAAACCTCAGAAAATTAACAGGTTCTCTTTATAGCTTTTAATATCATTTACAGCAGAACTGAATTAATAGACTTTTATCAATAAACCTTCCTGTGGTCCACCGCAGCCGCTGGCAGTACCAAGCACTTACAGTTTTAGTGGAGCATGTGACCTTCTGTCCCCCCGTGCAGTGTCCATACTTTCCAACTGTCCTAGAACTGTCCCAGTGGTGTCACTAGGGGTTGCAGACCGCACCTGGGTGACACCCACCAGGAGGTGACACCAGTGCACCAACATGTCCAGGTTCACTCCCAGACCCCAGGGAGACAGGGGACTATTTCATCAGCATGGCAAATTAATTCAGGATGGAGCGCGTGGAGCAGACTGGAGAACGTCCGTTCTCTGATCTGATCTGTGTGATCAGTGAGATGGTGAGCGCCATACTCACAGCACTTCCAGTCCCAGATGTCACAAGCCGGGCTGCACATGAAATCAAGCACAATTCAGTGTACCAGAGGGCAGGGGAGGCATTCTATTGCTTTACTGTTTTTTTTTTGGGGGGGGTGGGACACTATGAGTTACTGCATCAGGTGATACCAACCCTTGCGGCGCCTCTGAATTGTCCTTCATCTTGGTCTCGGTGATCTTGTGTTTTTGACTATGTCCCAGTATCACAGCAACAACCTTATCTGAGTTACTGCACCTGAGCTGAGCACTTAACTCGAGAAGTCAATCATTTCAGGCATCAGGGTCGTAAGTTTGCAGGCCCTGCATATTTAGTGGTGGGGTGTGGGCAGGACCAGCCTGAAAATTGGGCATAGAGTTGAGGTCTGGGCTGAGGGACCTTTGAGGGAACTGTTCACACAAAGCCCATCGATACATAAGCCCTAAGTCATGCAAATATGAAATTCATATAGTATATATACTGTATACTACATACAAATAGTCAGAAGGGGGCACTCTTATGTCTCTGCTCCAACACTTTTACTGCTATTCTGTGAATGGCCAGAATAGACTTAAAGGGTTAATAAACCCTCAGCGTTTTTTGCATATATCTACAAAGGTCACTCTTTATGCCCTGATGAAGAGACCCTGCGCGGTCTCGAAACGTTGGCTCTTGTGATTGTGTGACGTCTATGTCCAATAAATGGACATGTTGTATTATTCTACTGAGTGCTGGTGATTTCTCTTCTTACATTGTGTCTGCACGGTGCCATCCGTGTTCATCACTACAAGCACCATCGTTTATATAGGCCTGGATTGCTGCAAGGTGTGTAGAGGATTTCCCCCATCTATCCAATCTATATATATGTACACACACAGTATATACTGTATATACACAGTATATCATGATAGGACCCTCCTAAACCTCCTGTCTTGAATTTATATTGTAACAGCAGTGTCTCCCTCATTTTGTAAAGTGCTGCACAAGCTGTTAGCACTATGTAAATCCTGTATAATAATAATAATAATTGTGCTATAGAATAATAGAGAAAAGGGGAGTAATACAGCTTGCTTACTTGGTGTATGTACAATCTTTTTTAGATTTACCAAAACTAGCTAATATGGTCTAGCTGAACAATCCATTCAATTAGGATCCGTTCGGCAGGTCCTTGTACTACATAGTTGCTAGCAGGTCCAAAAATGGAGATTGTACAATCAGATTCTAACGCATGGTAAACTTTAGACTGCGATAACTAACAAAGTGAACAGCAACTTCTGTGCACAGTATGCCCTGTAAACCTAATGCCATGCAAGCACCCCGTATTAAATGTTTTTGTCAATAAGAATGTTACATTTGAATTTATAAACTTGTAAACATTTTTAAAAATCTAAACGGTCCACACACTATTAAAATCATTGTCTTGTGTAAAAAACAGGGGATCTGCCAATAGAAAGCTTTGCTTCCTGCCTTTCAGAGATTATGTTCTATATCCTCATTGTGCCTGGAAATGTATTCATTCCTTGAGAATGCAGAAAAGCTCCAGCTCTCTTTGCTGCAGACAACACAATTAGCGTTAAAAACATGGGATTCTTTCCGTGGGCTGATGAAAGTAATTTCTTGTTTGCTGTGTCAAACAAAGCATGCTATTTGTCACATTGTGGTTTGTGTATCTTTTTAGAAGCCTTCAAGCTTTGATCTGAGTTGAGATGGACTCAGTAGCGCAGATGGCAGAGGTAACATGCCAGTGATGTACATTGTCACTCAGAAAAGTCTAAGTAAACAAATACTAAGAATTACAAGGAGAAAGCCACGTTGCATTGGGCAGACGTGTAGATGCTTGTGAGGGAACGTAGGACCTTTGGCTCTCTTTTCGGTTCAGACAAAGGTGTGGAGCAATTTATTAGTTGCATATTCAGTGCTTTGTAAGCAATCAAAAGGCTGCCTCAAATTCTGGCCTTTGCTCGGTATTTTCAGGTAAACAATTGCATGTAATAGACGTTTCTGAGATGTGCTGAGCGCCATATAATAGTGCTTTATTTCAACTGTCATCGGAGCAGGTTCCTGAACGTGCTTTCAATGCACACAGTGCTCATGGCTGGGGCTTTTTTCTTGTATTTAAATGCTTTATAAATGGCTTTTATCTATTGGCCCGGCAAAGGACAGATGCATTTGTCATGTGGTTTTGTGTTCTTCTTTTAAACCGCCGCTATATGCATTGTTGATTAATTAATGGTTGACCTTCTTTTGTACAAAAGGAGTTAAATAGGGAGATCGCAATAGTATAACGTGCGTTTTTAAAGGAAAAATACAGTCAAAATCAAAAATTCAGTAAACCATATACATTGGCTTGGTTTTTCTGTTTTGAAGTAATGTCTAGTAATGGCCTAATGTATCTTCAAAGACCTACTGTACTCCCATACGCCATGAAGCGGTGACGTAATTATGTCAATACGTCAGGTGCTGTTATAGTGCCCGCCCAGGCCGCCGATGCTCAGACACGGCCACGATGCGGCCTCGTGACAAAAAACTTTGAGACATTTAAGGTTGGTTCATTCCCCTCTTATCGATCCCAGTTTTTATTTTTATTTGTACGTTTTTGATTTGGATGATCCCCTTTTTTTTGTCTGTGTGTGATGGAAGATCCTATAATCAAAAGAAACCCATCGCACACCTGACCGGATAATACCCTCAAGTATCGGGTGGGTGCCAAGTGACCACAGATGCCTCCGCAAATCAGTATAAATATGAAGAAGTCACTCGCACTCCAGCTCAAGTTCAGTCAATATTTTATTGACCTCTGTGGTGTCACAACATGGTGGCGTTTCGGAACCTGTTTGGTCCTTTCATCAGGCAAACTCTCTGTTTGCCTGATGAAGGGACCAAATGGGTTCCGAAACATCTCCATGTTGTGACACCACAGAGGTCAATAAAATATTGACTGAACTTGAGCTGGAGTGCGAGTGACTTCTTCATATTTATGATGGAAGATCCTTGCACAGGGATCAGATATACCATTTAAAGATTATTACAGGCATGTATGGAAATGTTTTTGTTGAACCACCCTAGGGAACACTATATATTATCAATTTATTCCCCCCCTTTTTGGTTTAGGAGGACACCTTCAATAGGGTCCTTGTCACTCATTTCCCCTTTTCACCTTGGGGTGTAGCTTGATTATCTGTGTGTGTGTGGGGGGGGGGGGGCCTCTGGATCTTCCAAACTTAGTATGTAACATCATAATGATTGTATTTATCCTTAATTATTTAATTTCCCAATCTCGGATATTCATTCATCTTTTTATGGTTACTTAGATTTCCTCCAACAATCAGAAATTCCAGAGGAAGTGCTTGGAGCGCGAAATGCATTGAATGCTGAATGTCAACTACTCCAAATATTATAAAAAAGAGGCATTTCATGCCAAGTTATTGAAAGAACACACTTATGGTCATTATTTGAACATGTGTTACCTTTGTTTTGGAGGTATGAATGGGTATTATGAGGAAGGAAGCGATGTTTACAATCATTTTATATGGTTTTAACAACTTTTATACTAATAAAGAGTTTTTGATATAACACTGCATCTATTCTTGGTTTTGTCACCAGGGCACCTAAACAACCCCACATACCTACCTAAATTTTTCTACTGTAACCAGCTTTAGGTATAGCAAATTTCCACTTTTCCTCTAAGAAAAA